ACGATGGGGGTGCGCCCTGGACCCTCGTGGCTTCCTTGAAGCTTTCCTGACGTCTACTCCAAGTTTCCTGGATTCCGTTTGTTCCAAAAATGCTAAGCACGTTCATAACAATCAAGGGATGAATAAATTCATGCATATATACTTATATATATAGTTATATAGTATTTGTGTAAAACAGTATGTGTTTTGAGTCATAAATTTATAAATTGTTACGATGTCATTTTCAAATCCGCGTCAACTCTGGTTATTATGGTAAAAACCGAAACCATAGCGAAATAATTTGGTATATATTGAAACCGAATCGTATTTTAATTTTATACCATATTTACCTAAGTATTAATATCATACAAACTGAAAAACCGTATAAACCTAATCATGTAAACCGAATAAACCGAACGCACAGAGTGGCAAATTGGGCATGTTGTCGCCTTTGTCATATGCTGCCGATCCCATTCCTAACCCCTCAGCAGCGACGCCCGCGCCAATGGCCATGCAAACAGTTGCAACTTGGTTGGGACCTTGACGTCCCACAACTTCTTCCAGTTTCGTTCCTGCCGCTCTGTATGCAAGCTACCCGAGTTCCCATTAAGTCAACCTTCCCTTCTGAATTTTGTCTCCACTACTAAACCGTAGGAGGACCGACACTTGCTTTCTTGATGCCCTCAGAAGTCCCCTCCTCACTTGCTTTCTTCGGCATACACGACAACCCATCACTGCCAGTAAGAACAAGTAGGGGGAGATGGGGTCTTCCTGTCAGATCCCTCGCGAAGGAGAGGAATCTAGCTGCTCTTTTGATTAAACAGTACAGAAAAGGTCACCAAGGTCACCCCTCTCATGACCACACCTATTCCACTCAGTCATATGCTTTCAATTTGCCACTCATTCACTGGAATGGATTTATCAGCAAACGTCACGCACTACATTCTCTCCCACGTCTTCCCCACTCCCCACCTCTTACACCCCACACACACCAGTGCAATGCGGGCGTCAATGGGGACGAGGTGGGAGAGGAGGGGTTCGCTCGAAGGTGCCGTTCCTTACTGACGAATTTGTTCGTTCAATGGAACACTCTAGGGAACGCTTAGTTCACTGGGACCATATCCCCGGAGCACGCTCGCTGGATATTGGCGGCATTTAGTTATGCTCGTAGGCTAAAAAAAATATTTTTTAGACCCTGATAAATGTCACATGGTGGTATCAACGCATGACAACTTCAAATGTTTTTTATGCCAAGTTTAGTGACTCGAGGACGGCCATATTAGTTGTCAAGCATGACAACTTCTTTTGGGATGACAAATTTCAGCTTTTTTTCGGTTTATTTTTTTTTCAGATGGCAACTTTAATTGTAAAAAACGTTAGGGCCGGAGTGCTTCATGTCACACGTGTGACACTTATCATTTGAGTTTTTAACGTGGCTAGAAATCATTTATTATGATGGGAAAAATAGGTTAGACCTTCAGTGATATCAGAGCAGTGGATATCTACTCACGCACCGCCAGGCAGCCCCTCGCCGCCGCCGCCCGACGCGAATGGCGACAGCGAGGCGCTCTCCTCGTCGTCCCCGGCTGCGGATCGAGGCCGGGGTCGCCTTCTTCTCCCGCGCCGTGGTCAGCCGTCAGCGCCACGGCGGACAGGCCGTGGCCGCGGGCGTGGCGGGAGGTGCTGAACGCGACGGCCTCCGGAGAGCTGCGGCGATGCGCCCGCCAGGGCGCGGCGGGACCTCGCCTACGCCCAAGCCAGCCACGAGCTCGCCGCCCTCCCGCTCCTCTTCCTCGGCCTCGTCCACCGCCCGCGCTCCATGCTCGCCCTCTGCTTCGGCCTCGCGCGGCGGGGCGCGGCTTCGACGGCGACGGCGCCGTCCCCTCCTCCAAGGCGAGCACCGCACCTACGGGCTACGGCTACAGCAACACGCCCCCGAGAACGACGCATTCGATTCGATTCGATTCGATTCAAGGGCGTTTCTTCTTCACGAGAGAGGATTCTTCACTTCTTGGCGTGGCTCTTCCTCTCTGACATTGGGGGAATTTGAGGATTTGCCACACTTTACCTAACACTTTGAGGATTTGCCCTTGTTTACATTGACATGGATATTTTGCCCCAACTTTGCTAAAAACTTGAGGATTTGCCCCTGATAATATGGACCACTCTGCAATGTCCAAAATGCCCCTCAGCCCATCCTAAAATTCCCCATCTTCTTCACCGATTCAGATCTCGAGTGAGCTTTCTCCTCAAAACAGGAAAGAAAGAAAGAAAGGATGCATGTCAAAAAACGAAGAAGAAGAGATGATGGTTGACTACTGCCAGAACTAATAACGTTGCGTGCTCTACGCCGAGTGGGCCTTGCTGCAGCACCGGCGCCCAAGCTCGCCGCTGCCGACTTGGATGCTGGAGCCTCTACTGGCAGGGTCCCGCACGGTCTGCATCAGGATGATGGCCACTCGACGCCTCGTCGACAAGCGCGTGTGCATGGACGTCACGCGAACCTCCAGCTCGCCATCGTCGCAGCTCAGCTGTGGCGCGCGCTCGCTCACCCGTCTCATGGTCACGGGGCCTCCGTACTCGTTGTCGGCGTGCTCCGGTCATCTTGAACGGAACAAAAAGGGCATCGAGCTGGCCGACGGTGTCATTAGCGCTGGCGAGGTTGACTTCGTTGCTGCCTACTCGCTTCCACAACACCAGGATCAAGCTTGAGACGGCGAGTCCTGCATTTCCTCCACCAGGAGCCTAAGTCGGTCCACCGCAGCTAGCCAGCGCACCGTGCCATAGGGTTTGCTCGTCGAGGAGGCATTGGTTGTCGTGCTCGCTGGAAAAAAGCACCACCAACACCACCACCTTGATGCATGTCTAGGTGTCCCCGGCGCTGGCGGCGAGGAGGAAGCACAACAAGGCTTGCCGTCATAGGAGGAGACGAACAGAGAAAGAGTTGGTTCATGCTCGGGGGCAATTTAGTCATGATTTTGTGGTGTAATCTGGAAACTTATGCTAACCGTGTAAAAGGGGCAAATCCTCAAGTTTTTAGCAAAGTTGGGGCAAAATATCCATGTCAATGTAAACAAGGGCAAATCCTCAAAGTGTTAGGTAAGGTGTGGCAAATCCTCAAATTCCCACATTGAACTTCACAATCTTTATTATCAGCAGGGGGGATGGATGATTTACACGCTTGCTTGCTCCTTGGAGCAACATCTTATTACAAAGTTTCCCCTTGGGAACGGCTTCGGATAATCGCAGTCAGCTCCGGAATTTCACCTGAGATCCTATCTCCAGAGTGAGTATATACAGCATTGGAACTACAAAGATTGGTACTACTATTTGAGATGTTCCAATGTCAATTAAATGTATCTTACGTTATTATCATGTCATGTACTGTGTGATTGAACAAACTAACAGGGTCAGACGCCGAAGATTCTTACACAAGTTGATACATGGATGGACGACATCAGGTGAGTTGGGTTCGTATCGCCACTATAATTTCTTTCCTTCGCAACTCTGGAAGCAGCAGTTGAATTCTGAAATCCTCACTTTTGTAATTTCTATGTATGAATGCACTGACAGAGTAACAGGTCAACGCATGAGATTGATTCGTAGGGAAGTTGATGCATGAAACAGAGATTAGGCAACAAAGCGAGCCCAAGAGTTGGTTTCATGGCGGCGATTACAGAAGGTAGGTGTTGCTGCTACATTATTAGTTATCCTCCCAACCAACTTTGGAAAACAACAACTGATTCTCACACCAAGAACAGAAAACTGCATCCATTCATACAACCCTTTTGGTATTGATTGCATCACAGTTGCTGCTTACAAAAAAGATTACACCTGCGTCCCTGGAGCTAGCCTAGAGTCTGATCCCCCATCCATCCGCCAGCATCTGATGTTTCTAATCCTTCTCTTACCAAGAGTACATCATATGCGCCAAAATGCAGTTCAGGCGACCAGCCTGTAATAACTTGAGTCAATTGCTCCAACATACTACACATAGGGGCCAATCATAAATTAAGTCCCACTTGGACCAACCAAAAACATGACAGTACTTGCATCATGCAGTTACTTAAGCCGCCCTAGGCTTGGCGTCGATGGCGTTTCTTTCTCCTGGAAGAGTTATCTGATGCCAATCTTCGCAGTTTGAATGCTGTGCATAGGATTCATTTTGTTTTTCCTGAATTTTGTTTCTACTGGCCTTGCTGTTGTTCAACTGAAGTTCTCCAGTCGATTGCAATGCTCTGAAGCTGATTTGAAGTGAAATTTTTGCAAGATGATGCTCCAAGGTGCGAGCAAGTGTAAATCAAGGGGTCAATCCTACCAACTAATTGTGGAGATAATAAAGCTAGCGAAATTCAATATATCTGTTGTTATTAACTTGTTTCTGAAATCCATGATTGAATGAACTAACAGAGTAATAAGATGAGTGGTGATTGGTGAAGATTGAGAGCTTGGTTCACACACTTTTTGTCTTCACAGCAGTGGAAAACGACCAATTGATTTGGACGATGGTAATCCTCACCAGTAAATCCTTACTGATGTATGAATACAACAGCAGAGCAACAGGTCAACAAAGGAGAGTGATTCGTACAAAAGTCGATGCATGAAACAGAGACAAGGCAACAAAGTGAGCTCAAGAGTTGGTTTCATTCAGGTGGCCAATACAAAAGGTAAGATTGATGCTAATATTTTCCCTTCACAACTTTGGAAGACATTTGCAAAGTTGCAGGAACGGAAAATTGGCATCACAGTTGTTTGCAAAAAAGATAACACCCCCGGTGCTAGAGTCCGTTAGTTCCCTCTAAACTTCGATCCATCCATCCAACAGCAGCTGATGCTTTTAATCCTCCTCTTACGAAGAGTACATCAGATGCACAAAAAAGCAGTTCAGGCAACCAGCCTGTATTAGCTTCAGAGTCAATTGATCCCTCCCAGAACATACATATGTAGGGGCCAATGATAAATCAAGTCCCACTCGGACCAACCAAAAAATGACGGGACCTGTACCATGCAGTGCAGTGAACTTAAGCCAGTCGAGGCTTGGCGTCGATGGCTTGCTTGAGCTTCCTCCCGAGCGCGTAGGAGAGGGGAGGCGGCACGGCGTTCCCGATCTGCCGGTGCTTGCTCTGGATGTTGCCAGCGAAATGGTAGCCATCAGGGAAGCCCTGCAAGCACATTCACGTCAGTCATGTCATGGGATCGAATCAGAGATCTTCAGAAATAAAGCAGCAGATACATTCAATTCATGGTGTAATGCATTAGATTCTGATCTCCTTCCAGATTGCAGACAAGGCAATTGTCCTTGCACGAGTACAGAACTATGATCTGATTATGATAACATAGCTCAATCTACTAATCAGAGATCTTCAGAACTATGGATGGGAACAAAAGCTACTCTGAAGTCTGAACTACACGCTTCATTTTAGTCAACAGTAGTTGCTGAGGCATCGATGGATGTATTACTGTGTAGTGTGCACTACAGTATATGCAGTGGTAGCATTTAGGGAGCATATATGTTATTATGTTGATAGTGTGCTTTACCTGGGATCGGGCGCATTCACGAACAGTGATGATCCTGTCCTGATCAGGGTGGAAGCACATGCCGACCTTGCCCATTGGCTGGGGATCTGTCACTGATGTGGGGAAGTTGCCCTCCCAGTCCAACCTCCCATACAGGCCTTTCCACTGGTTGTGCCTCTTGGCTGTGTTGGGCAAGCACCAAGGGATCAACTCCACCGTTTGCCCTGTCGATAGCTTCACCTGCACCCACAGCATGACGAAAATTAGCAAGTACAACATCACATGGTTACCAAGAAGGTAGAAAGCAGCAGAAAAGGATTGGCGCCAAGTGAGAACAAAAAGGCAGAATGCTACCTTCTCATCTGGGAGGTCATGCCAGTCACAGCCAGGGCGCTTCGGGATGTGCTTGCACCTTATGAGATTCAGCTCATTCATTTCTTTAGCTATGTGGTCACTCAACGAAGACGCGTCGCCTCGAATCTTCTTCTGGAACCAGGAGACCGGCTCACATCCATACTACAGCACAACAGAGAAAATTCAGTTTGTGCAGATCAAGCAAGAGCATTGACACAAAAGAGACTGAAGTGGAGTATGGATGTACTGACATAAACCTACCGGTATTGTTGGTTTGCTGGCACCATTCTCCACCGGCGGCAGATCACCGATTGTATCCCTCACTGTTATAGAGCGGAAAGGCGCCCCTCCTGCAGTACTCTTAGCAGCGGCATAGTATTTCCCTTCTGGTAGATTGATTTTCAGCTCAGGGCTGGCGAAGACGTGCATTGGTTCAGGCCAATCAGGAAGGGTCTCCCCAGGTGCAGCCGCCCAGATGAATGCCCTTTTCCTGGACTGTGCAACGCCATAAGCACCTGCCTCTAAAATCCCAAACCGAACCTATGAAAAAATGCAGAGGTTTAGAACATGTGGAAATGAAGGAATGCATAGGGACAAACAGAGGAGAGCAAGTGACAAGCACCTGGTATCCCATCTCCAGGAGTGATGCTAGTGTCAGTCTGAAGGTCTGGCCTTTGTTGAATGAAACGAAGTTCCTAACATTTTCCAAAAGGAAGAACCTGGGCCGGAAATACTCCGCGAAGGACAGGAATGCCAAAATCATCTCACACTGAACTTTGCTCCATGGACTTTGGTTGAATCTGTTCATTCCAGAGAACCCCTGAGAAAAGACGGACAGAGTGTCACGCAGCAGCACTGAAGATTAACAAAGCATCGAGCATTCTTCTGGCATATAGGTGAAACAACCAACCAACCTGGCATGGAGGGCCACCGTTGATGAACTCTACTTCACCTGGCACAGGGAGATTTTTGATCTTCTCATCTGAAAATTTAGCTGCTTGGTCAGAAGCCTCGGTAGTCGAGATGCAATCATCAACATCACCACACTTGTCCATTATTGCCCTGCAAAGGCAAATAGTCACATATGAGTTGGGAGATACAGGAATAATAGGTTTAGTACGTCCAAATGGGAAATAGGGGGGTTGCATACTTCAGAATCACATTGCAGTTGTCCACAAATACCACTGCCTCTGGATGATTTTCACGAAATGCTTCCCCAGCAGGTTCTTCATATTCAATTGCCCATTTTGTACATGATGCGCCTGTAGAGTCAAATGATCAGAAAGTATGTGGAGGCCAAGGTGGTCTATCTACCAACATGCACATGCATCTAATAAGAAACATGCAGATGGAAATACATTACCCGATAGCTGCAACCCTTCAGACAAACCTCCACAGCCAGCAAAAATATCAAGGGTTGCAAGACAGTTTTCTGGTGCCACGTTCTTCTGTTTGTCAGAATCAGCTCGCAAATCATCACAAATCTGCTTTCCTTTATTCTTTTTCACAGCATGTGCCTTCCTTGTCAGGATCTCGAGCTTAACATTGGTCGGTAGCTGGTTCAAAGACAAGACAGGCTCAGTCAAGTATTTGAAGCGGTTTGTCAACAAAATAAACGCAAAGGTAAATGGAGAAGATCAAAAGCTGAACTTTGGCAATCTCTAACCTGCTTGAGAGCTCCAGTCTTAGGATCATAAAGATATTCGCAGTAAAAGGCATGATCAACCACTACTGGAAGATTTGGGTTTGGAAGGTCGTTCTTTGCTGTAACCTCACATTTCCCCTCTATCATCACAACCGGCACACTCACTACATCTTCACTGTAGTAAACCTGGATCATCAAACAATGAATAAATATTAAAGACCAAATGTACAAACAAAAAGGTTATGTGGAATAACAGGCGTATGACGATAGCTATGCAGATAAGCAACAGTGAAGTGAATATTTTTCTTTGAACAAATGAAGTGGATACTAGACCATAAACAAAAAGGCAAAGTGAAAAACCTCTCTGATGTCTGAAGAGTAAGCTTTCGCTGATGAAATATCATCTGGCCTGTATAGCCTTCTTACACTGACTTTGGTTGATTCTGGATTAGCTTTCTTCGATCCAGCAGAAGCTTTGATACTCTGCAGACGACACACCACATAAGGCTTCAGGCCTACATTTCTTCCAGCCTTGTAGGTCCCCTGACCCTCGACTTCAGAGAAAAACTCAGGCCTGATGTACAGAAAGTCATGAACACTGTATGTAACATTCTTGAGGACAAAGCTGGTCTCTGATAATATTTTGAATTCATCACCAACTGCTTCTCGCTCCTCACAAGAACTACAGCAGCCAGTTCCAGTGCCCAGTTTATCAGAAGGGAGGGAGAAAAAGGCGCCTTTCTCAGGACAGTATAAGCTTTTGCAGAAATACTCCACAGGCAAACCTTTCCTCTTCCTGTCCTCTGCCTTGGCCCTCTCCATCTTAATAGCTTCTAAATGCTCCTTTCTGCACTCGTGGCCCCAAGGAATCTGCTGAAAATTGACGGACACTGATTCTTTGATGTCACTTGCTTCGAATTCTAAACAGTCATCAGTAAAGAAAACCTCTCGTTCATTTGCAGCATTGCCAAGGACAGTGTGTGAACCTTTTTGCAGAATTCTTCCATGGATCATTTGTGTACCATCATGTTTCTCATACATATACTCAACAAAACACATGATGGCTTCTCCTGAATCATCTTCTAGTGTGACTGCCCCACCAACAGCAATACTGAGATCTCGAACTCTAGCACACTTGTACAGAACTTCTCCAGAGAGTGTTTTCCCAACTGTTTGGCCTTCCCATTCGGTTTCTTCACAAGCATTTGATGATGGCTTTTTAGACCTCGTTGATGGCGGGGTCCTGAAAACATGTTCCTCGTCAACTTTAACCTCCACCTCAGCATCATCGTCTTCATTCTCTTCCTGTACCTCCTCAATTTCCTTTTGTTCATCATTCTCACCTCCCTCCTTTGAGTCCTCTGGGAAATGGGTTGCATAGTAATCACTCCATATCTTGCTGATCAACCCTGTAGTTGTCGCACGCATAAGTTTTCTTTTAAGTATTGGGCCCATATTTGCACTTGGGTTCAGATTCTCTCCCCTCGTTGCCTGAGTTTTTTTCTTCAGCGCTAGCTTTGTGTGCCTTCGTTCTTCCATCTTCGCGAGAAGCCCTGTGATGAAGGCACTTTGTTGAATAGTCCTTTCTGGATAACTTGCAAACTGCTGAAGAATTATCTGTCCATGCACCACAACATATCGTTCAACGAGCGCTGCATTTGTTGAAATAAATGCAGGCTGCCCTTTCTCAAATTCTGCTACTCTCTTAACAACATCAGCGAAAGCAAGTTTTGAAGCACGAGTTTGTTCTTTTAGAAGTTTGATGACACTGACAGCCAGCCTTGCTGTTTTAAGGACAGTGTCACACCATGGCGCATACTGCTTTGTTGGCTGGCGTAATTTGTACCTGAAATAGTTTTAATTCATATGTGAGTTAAGAGGGAGGTTTAATAGGAAGGAATTGCAAGATTCCATGCATATAATAAAATATAGATTTCAAGACATAAGATCTTAAATGCATGGCAAGCTATTGAGCAGGTGTGCTTATAGTACAGAATGAATAGTAGCAGGAGTATTTACCACGCTATGTCTGTTCGAATTAATATGCAGATCATTTCACCACCAAATTCTACAACCCACTCCTTGATTGGACTTAGATAAATTGCAATCCCTTGATCTTCCTGGTCAGATTTACTTGTGGAAGAAGATAACTGTGTTGGCTCGGCTGTTGAACAGAAAGTATGATCATCTTCTCTCATAAAACCAGACCCAAAGATCACTATGTCATTTTCAGCACCTGCCTTCATAGGAATGAGCTCCAAAGGGATGAGTCTGGCATCTGAATTATACAGAGCCCAATTGTTGAGTATTCTTGTTGGCAGTTCCCCAACAAGCATGTCATCTTCGCTGTCAAGCATGTACTCATCCATTTCTATGCTAGATGGTTTGTAGTATGCTGGCATTGGGTAGTCATTGGCAATCTCCGTTTCACTAATCTTGATGTAGACATTGTTCTGTGAATTTTCACGCTTGCCTCTCTGCTTCTTGTTCATCTTCCACTCTTCCTCATCCTGCAACAGTCTTGCTAATTTCTCATCTTCATCCTCGTTTTCAGTAGCCTCCTTACACTGCCCATCCTTGATTGTCAGAGTTCCATCTGAGGTCATAGCTGCCAACCTGCTGAATTCCACCCTAGATTTACATCCATCTCTTAGGGCAACAAGAGCAGGCAGTGTGGACAGTATCTCATCATCGTTGTTTGCTGTATGGTCCAATGCAGTAAGCTGGTTATGGATAAACTCGCCAATTGAGATTACAAAGTCCTTTCTCACCGTTCCCCTGAAACTTCTCTCTGAATTAATGGAACGTACAACACTAGCAAGCAACTCTTCCAGACCCAGCAAAGGATTTCCGCCAACTGATCTGACTAGCTTTCTGTAAACTTCAACACAGATATGAGCCTTCTGACTGAAAAGATCAAAAAAAGACCGGTAACTACTTGCTGGCTTCACACATTCGTAATCAGCTAGTTCTGTTGAGAGCCAAATTATGACAGTGCTTTCTTTATAGCCAGAAATTGCCCAGTCCTTGATTGGCCCAAATCTCTCACAGCGTATTCCCTTTTCCCTGGGCTTCTTCATATCAGCATCAAAAGGCATGACAACAGCTGTTATGGAGATACCATCACTTCGAGACATTTCAAAAGGTTGCGGATTACCATCTCCATCATGCAGGATGAAATAAGAGAGTTTTCTGCGAGGTTTCTTATCTTCAGGCCCTGTTTTTGTCAACCTAACAGCCTCTGTTTCCTCTTCAATCCGAATTTCCTTGATTGTGACAAGCATATCTTCTTCAGACAAGTCAACTGCCTTCTGTTTGAAATTAGAACAGGCAGCTGTTCTCTTTGGTCTCTTGGAGACAATGGCGTCATGACCATTGTTAGTGGTACCGTTGTTCTCTTTATTAATATTGTTGTCATCCTCAACGGTCTCATCTTCAGTCTTATGAAGCTTAGGTCTGCGCCTCTTTGTTCCTGAAAAGCAGAAAATGACAGACACATTAAGAACTGAACAAGATGCAAGAATATAAACATCAGATGAACCCCCATACATAAGAATATTAAATGGAGTGCATTCAAAAGACGGAAAATAAATGGTGGTTAATATTTAATACTTCTTATTATCAATATGGACTTGGATTCTGCACTGAGCCCAAAACTCAGAGCATGTCGTGTTAAGTGCCATGCCTAATCAAATCAAGATGTGTCACTGAGCGCAAAACTCGGAGCATGGCATATTAAGTGCTACGACTAATCAAATCAAGATGTGGCTATCATATGCATCTGAGCAGATTACTCCCTAATAGCTTAAGCTCTTTTCGTCAAACACACACATATGTGTGTCATCTTGTACTAGGAAAACTTCAAGATGACAAGTTAGCGAAAGCCAAAAATCAAAACAAAGCAACAAACCAGAAAGCCAAAACAAATAAGAAGACTATACAAAAACTACATGGCTAGTTAGCGAAAACTAATAGCTTACACTTGTGTATCACAAATGAAAAAATTCTGCTAGGGCGCGAGACAAGTTATCTTGTATTAAAAACATAGACGTACAACCTAACAGGGGAATCACCCTGTGACTTTTTTAGTAAGAGAAATAATGCATGATGCACCCCGCGGAGGAAGCACCATGTGACCTTTTTAGCATCGAACACGGGTGGGTCGGACACACTTGCTAACGGAGGGATGCTCGGTTCTCAAGTTGCCTTAGGTTATACAAAACTCGACCCTATGTGGAGTTTTATAGTAAGAAGAAACAACCCATGAGGCAACTCACGGAGGCCAAGCCTCAAACATGGTGGGGTGGGCATGCATTCATGCAACTAGCCAATGGAGCAGCACTCAGTTCTCTTGATGTCGTGCATATCCTATACAAATTTGGTTAGTTACTAACTGGTGAACGACAGTTACTTGCTATGTGATTTAACAGTTACATTTATTTACTTTGATATGATATCATCTATACTTTCCTCCAGCTGGAAGCTCATGGTTAACTACACATTATTTGATCGTCCACCCAATTTAATTATGCTCTAGCCAAGCTTGAACTAACTCATGATAGAAAAAGTAGTTCTAGGCTTCTAGCTAAGACTCCCAGTGCATAGCGGCCTTGTAAAATATATTGGCGAGTGATCAATTAAACGCCTAAGATGGCAAACTTATCAATAAATAACAATGGTATCATTATAACGAAAAGGGTCCACCGCTTTATATTGTAAAGCAACCACCACCGCATACATCCAAGAGAACCGATACAAACACACGCCACGACCACACTCAACAAACACAACCAAGGCAAGATACAAGGTGTCGGGCACCGACACACTACCCCAACGACTACTAGGACACTACAAATGAGCAAAGAAGAACCGCTTTGAGCTGAGGAGAAGTGAGACGGCCAATGTCGGAGCTGGGACTCCAAAACGGTGCCTCCAAGAAGGGCACGACCACGATAGCCGCCACTGTCCGGTCCCTTAGATCAAGTTTTCACCCGGAGCAACATGAAGGGAGAGGGAGCACCGCGACTCCTCCTGCAAGGAGGAAACGACATCTGCGGCCGCCGTCGCCGTCGGCCAGTCCAAGGACCGGGCAAGTGCCCCTCTGACGCACCCCCGCTCCGTCAACCACCCGCATCCATACCACCCGAGTGGCCATGTCTGCTCGCCCGCACCAGAGCCACACAGCCTGCCAAGACCAACGCGCCTCCCGCTGCCAGGGCCGCCGCCCTACATCCAGACCGCCCCAAGAACATCAAAGGGGAAGGCTTTGGACAGCATTGCCAACCCCAACATTCACCGGAATCGACGGCGACCGTCCCGCCTCAAGCATCGGCAGGTAGCAACCAGAAAGCACCATGCCACGGAAGGGGAAAGGGGGAGGAGCAGCAGACGGCCACGACTGGCACCCCCTGTGCCGGTGACGGGTGGCTCGACCACGTCGGGGGCCCCATTCCTCCTACTGGCCTCCCTCCCCCCCCCCTCTCCCCTCGAAGCACCTATTTCACCCCACCACGGCTACTGGCGCAGACCGGCGAGAGGCCACCAACAGCAGCCGTCCGCCGAAGAGGGGGGAGGGGTAGGACTGCCGCCACCGCCGCCAAGGATGGACCCAAGGGAAGCCTTCCCGCGCCACATGTCGTCATACATGTGTCGGGGAAGAGGCCCGACCAGACGCTGGGGCGCGTACACATCTCCACCCACCACCGCAGCCACGCCACCAGCACCGCTAGACGACCCATGGCAGCACCGGTCGCCCGTGGCCCCTGCTAGCCTTAGCCCTCTCCGCCAGACGGGCCGCCAGCAGCAGATCCGGCCGGATCTGACCAGGCCGTCCCGCACAAATCCACCCGAAGAAGGCCGCCTTCATCACCAACCTGGGCTGAGGCACCAGCTGCCGCCGCGCCTCAGCCAAGCAGCAGGAAGAGGCCGCGCCGCTACCGGACGGCGCCACAGCCTCCTCATGTTCCCGACACCGCGCCCCACCATAGCCCAACGCCATCGGCGGCCAGTCGTCCAGTGCCGGCTAGGGTTTCCATCAATGGGGAAATGAGAGGCCCCGCCACCATCGCCTACGCCGGCTAGGCTTCGCTCGGCAGCGCCTCTAGGCAGCGGCGAGGGATGGGGGTGGCGGCCGCCACGGGTTCCCCGTTCGCTAACGGGAGCGGCTGTGGGGAACAGTTTTCACAATGCTATCATTCATTGCTTCATATACTACACAACATTTTTTTTGGACCAAAGACTACACCACATATTGAACTTATAAAAAAAAGAACAATATCTAGCTATAGTCTGACAATGTGGAGACGTGCAATATTGCAGGAACTAATAAATTGATGCCTAAAATGTAGGAACAGAAATAGCAAGGCAAACATACCTGCAGTAGAAGCGGGATGCGGAAATTTCGTCATAACTCCCCTGTAAAGTTTCATAATCATGTAGATATGTCAGCTAGAAGTTGAGATAAATGTAGCAATAAAGCTGCAAAATCAGGAGTTTGGCGGTTACATCACAAAGCAACAGTTCATTAACATATTGACAAACAAGGACCTAGTTCATTGACACATGTAACAATGAAATCGGACACAGTTAATGGCATCTGATCCATTTTTTATAGCAACTATTGAAGAGACACATGATGTACAAGCCTACAGGGCAATGAAAGCATCTCCAGGGCATAACAATAAGCGCACCACATACAAAAGGGGCCGCAGTTGAACAGTATCAATTTATCATATGCAACGATGTGGGAGCACATTCCGCATAACACGCTAAGGCAAGCAAATTCACCAGCATTAATATGCAAAGACGACGACAATGTCTCCGACCTGCCGACAGGCGCCTAGAGCTCCTCACCGGAGCAAATAAATTAAGCCAGTAAGCAACATTGACACAGTAATCACAGTTAACAAGGAGAGGAGCAAGGGCAACAGCTCCCAGCTGATTTGATCCGAAGTGAGCAAATACTAGTTAGTAGCAGTAGCCACTAATTAAACAACAACGCTGCAGAGGTGCAACCACATCCACGGTTAATAAGGAGAGCAGCGCACAGGAGGCAGCAAGGGCAACAACTCCTGGGAGATTCGATTGCAAGTGATCACAACAGCAATTTTCAGCTTCTAGTTCATCAATGGATGAGGAAGGACATGGTTACCTCACCCAGCGGTGGAATCCGCAGATCTCACCAAGCTAGGGAGGGTCACACACTGACACTCACAGATCCACGACCGAGATCAAGAATCCTATGCAACAAAACAACAGGATATATCTTCAGAGAAGCATCATAGTCAGAATCAAATTCAGAAATTTCGGCATGAGTCCCCTGTAATATTCTATAATCAAGTAGAAATGTCAACCAGAAGTTGAGATAAATGTATGTAGCAATCAAACTGCAAAACCAGGAGTTTGGTGGTTACATCACAAAGCAGCAGCCCATTAACACAACTTGGACACAAGTAACAACATACAGCTTATAGAAACCATTTAAGAGACACATGATGTACAAGCCTATATGGTAATGAAAGGATCTCCGGGACATAACAGTGAGTGCAATAAATGTAAAAGGGAGAGCTGTTGAACTCTAGTTAGCAACAATAGCCACTAATTAAGCAACAGCGCCACGATGCTACCATAACCACAGTTAATAAGTAGAGCAGCGCACAGCAAAGGCAATAACTCATGGCTGATTCGATTGCAAGTTATCACAACAACAGTTGAGGAAGAATATAGCCACCTCGCCGGCGCAATCCGAACTCCAGCAAGCCAGGGAGGGTCGCACACTCGCAGATCCACCACCTGCGCAAGGATACCACGGGATGTACCATCAGAGAAGCATCAGAAACAGAAGTCAAAATGCGAAAACGCAAACACAGCCAGCCATGCCGCCATATCGAGCATGGAAGCACAGCCACCCGTCTGGATTCGAACCAGATGGGGGCGACGACCAAGACGCCAAAGTACACAGCGGTCGGAGCTAGCTGTAGCTACCTGGCTTGGGCGAGCGAGAGCAGATCCACGGAAATGCGTGGAAGCGCGGCTGTACGTATGAAAGCAACATGTAGCTAAAGCACGCGCGCGCGCATGGTCCTTCCTGAATCCTGATTATCCATCCATCCATCCAAAGGTACGCAGAAGGAAACCTGGCCCCGGTCGGAAGCGATAGACGAGGGCCCCCGGTCGAGTGCGGCCGACCTTCCGGCTCCCACGCCCTGGGCGGGCACCGACCAGCCCAGCCGTCCGTCTACCCCCGCGCCCGCCGTGGAGGCGAAATCACCGACCGACCGACCGACCGACCGACCGACCGGAACCCTCGGAGAAACTGGGGGAAATGGAATGCCCCCAAATCACGGAGCGCGCGCCGGCGCGATCGGCGAGCGGGGCGACAGGAAGCAAGGAAACGAATCCCCTTCCCCCGGAAAGGCTAAAGGCCTAAATCGAAACCCTCGTCCCAACAAAATAAGTAAAAGAAAATAGTTCGTAATAAAGCAATCGAGGCGAGCGAATGCTGGGGCGGCCGGCGGGCGAGCGATTATACCTGCCGGAGCAGGCGCGCG